TAACTTCCCTATCATGTTCGATTTTGACCGGACGTAATAATTGCTCATAATTTTGAGTGTCAATCTAACTAATAATGAATATATTTTTTTCCCTCAGGCAGTTGATAGGGCTATGCAAGAAGTAGAAGCTACAGGGCAAACGGCATCAGAAGAAGCCAGCGTGTTAATTGGACGGCTCCAGAGCTATATGGAAATTTGGAAGGTGTAAGCTCCCAAAATTATGAGAAAAGAAAAAAAAAAGTCTATAGAGTTTTCAAGGCTGTATGAAGCAGCCAGCCGTTTGAATTTTATTTATTTTTTTGCAATAAATTTTCCAAAGTGACCAAGTCGAAGAAGGAAAATTATCGTTCATTAGAACTTCAAATTTGTTGTTTATAGCATGCAGTACGGTGTAATGCGACAGAGAGTACTCAAGAATAAATGTGTTTTTGAGAGTTTCTTTCAACCCGTTTAAAAAATAGGTCGGGTTCAAGTTTTATATTCTTGCTTGATTATATTTTTAGGTAGGGTTCGGGTCAACCCAAAGACTAGAAATTGACTCAGGTCAACCTGAAAAAGCACTCATCCTGTCATCCATGCTTGTGCATCGGGGCTGCTCGCACTTAGGTCAGCGGGTCAGGTCCTGTTGATAGGGTTGGGCCTGGGTTGGGTTCGGGTCAAGTTAGTTAAAGTAGGGTTAATTCCGTGTTGGATCTGAAACCGACCCAAAAACCCATATTGATAACCCTAATATCGACGCTTTACCTCGATTGCTTCCGCACTAGCTTGCCATATGGGCTCTATATATCTGGCCTGCGGGCTCTAAAGGCAAGATGACAATGAGGCTCGTAAGCATTTTAATACATGCTTATGGATATATGGATGCATAAAACTTTGATTATTTATTGATGATGTATTAAATCATATATTTTATATTTTTTAACCCCTCTAACAGTCTCGGTATCTAACAATTGGGGAGAATTTTCTTCCATAAAACCTCATTCGAACATGTTCTTAGTCACGTATATTGCTAATATAAATCACATAATTATAATTGTATTTCAATGAGGATGTCTTTGATTTTTTTCAAAAATATTCATCTTTGCAAAAATAATTATTTTTCACAATGACTTACGAAATAGAGAAATTAGAGATTGTAGAAATATTGGGTCTAAATTTTGTTAGAAGAGCAACAAAAAATATGTAATTTTTACATGATTTTGCATCATCGATAAGTTACACACAAAGAGAAGAAAGAAGCCCCGTTGGATGACACATATAAGTGGACGTAGCAATACAATATTTGACACGGCCTGAAAATTAGACTCGAAACCAATCCGAAAATTTCGGCTTAGTGTCAAGCTGTTTGACAAACGAGTTGGATTCTGGTTCTGAATTTTGACATGTTTGAATAATCGGGTCGGGTAAGGGTCAACCCGCTAACCCGAAATTGACCCGAATCTGACCCAATTCCCACCTCAGCCAGCTTGCGTGAGATAAAGCATTGAACGAATATATAAAAGTCTTCTTCGCCTCCTTTGATGACTTTCCTCCGGTGTTTGAACCTTCCTGTTGATCTAAAGTCTCGACAAGAGACAATGTGATGGATCGAAATCGCAAGACAGAAGTAATAACGACAATGTTTCTTCCATAGTTCCATACTTCCATTAGCGCGCTTCTCCGTGTTCTCACACGGTCGCAACGAAGAGTCGAAGAGTTCTTTGCCTCCTTCAACGACGTTCCTTCCTCCGAAGGTAACCTCCTTCGACAACATTTTTTCACCTCCTTCATTTCCTTTGACAATCGACGTTATTTTGTTGGATCAGAAGTACCAACGACAACGGGACGGAAGTCGGGAGGGATCTCAATCGCCTCCTTTAAAGGATTTTCGAGGAAAATCCCCGTTGCTATGTTTCTCACTTTCGCCCACTAGCTCGACGACATTTCTTCGCCTCCTTCGGGTAACCATTTTTCCCATTTGCGCGTTTCTGGCAACGTAGCTTTGTGTTGGGTTGGGTCAACCCAGAAACCAGAAGGGTCGGGTCCAGGTTGAAATTTCTGATCCGTTTACAAAAATTGGTCAATTTTGGGTCGGGTTCAGGCCGTTTCAAACAATAGCAAGTCAATATCGAGTCGACCCAAACCCAACTTGCAACCCAATTTTGACACCCTTAATAATGGTGGTAAAATCAAATCAATTAAAGCTTCTTTTGAGACATCTTTCTTACCATTTTAAAGTAGCTTTTTAATTTAAAAAAAAAAATTGTGCTAAAAAATTACATTAGAGACCAGTAAGAAAGCTGTCATAATCGAAGCCTAAGGCTTCGTTTGGAACAGCTTTCTTACAATTTTTTAAAGCAATGTCTTTATAGCCAAAATTTTTTCCTAAAAAGTTTTAAAAAAATTAAGAAAGCTGTCCCAAACTATTCATAAAAATTTTTAACTGATTTATCAATTTAGCCATTTTTTTATTATTCCACCTCTTTTTATTTATTTTTTTATATTTTTATTCCAACTCTAACTCTAAAGGAATCTTGCACATTTGGCGCAGAATGTGCTAAGGTAACAAAACTCAATGAAAATATTTTAAAGGGGGTATTTACATACATGTCACTTTATTTCATGCTATTTATATATATAACATTCAAAATATTAATATTACATGTATACCATCTATAGAATAAATTTGGGTGCATGAAATGAAATATTAAAGTTTATAGGATGGTAAGAATGGTAGAAATGAATTATAGGAGTGATATATTTGATATCAAAGTTGTATATAGGTGGTAGATAAGTAATATTAATATTTTTGGTATTAGATATATAAATAACATGAATTAAAGTGGTATGTATGTAAATTTTCCTATTTTAAATTAGTTGCGTAAAAGCTAGTACTAAGTTAACCATGCTCTTTTTATTTTTTTATTTAACTTTAATCAAGTCTCATAATAATTTTAATATTACATAATTTTATTATTAGACCTAAATATATTCATATTTTTAATTTGATATATGATTTCTAATATCTTATGATATTCAATTGTTAATAAAGACTAAAACTATAAATTTAATTTGTGGATATAGGACATTATGTCCAATATTTTCATCATATTTACACCTCCAACCTTTATTGTCATTACTATTATAATCAACATAATTAGTTTTTTAATAACTATATTCATTTGCTTATATGAATACTCATTTTTAATTTAATTCATCTTAACATTGTCTAATGTTTTAAAGCTAATAAACTATTTTTACTTCAATAATATACATAAATTCTAGGCTACATAAAATATAAAAATTTGATAAAAAATATTAAATAAGTTAGAAATAATTAAATCATCATTATATGACTTTTTATCAAATGAGCTATTGTTAAATACTAATTAAATGATTGTAATTGAATAATAGGTTAATATTCAACGGGCGTTCATTTTTATATTAACATTTTAAAAATTATGTAAATGTCCATAATTTTAGTCATTACAATTTTTAAAATGTAATAACAAAATCGATCATTGTTATTGTCTCTAATAGAGATGTAAACGAGTCGAACCGAACTCGAGCTACTTTTGGCTTGAACTGGAACATGATTAATGAATAAAATTCGGGTTAACTCACGAGCCTGCTCATTCATTATAAAAGAGAGAAAATTACATTTATGCAAATAATTACGAACCATAATATTCTACTTAAATTAAAGGGGGTCTTATATTGAGTTTATGCTAACATTCCTTTTTTTTTAAGGAAAAAAAATTCCTTAATCCTATGCTAAATACATACATGCATCACATGCACAAGTTTCAAGTTTAAGACCTTTTAATTGATAGTCAAAGCTCTGAACCAATAGATTAAGATGAGTTGCATCCAAATCAAAATTTTGTAGGAAATAATATGCTAACTCATATATCTATAGTAAAAATGTTGAAAGATTTAAAATATTCATCTTCTTCTTTTATTTATTGAAACTCGAATGCTATAAAAAATGCTTCATCATAAAAAATTAAAAAAAAAAAATACATAAGTTAATATATAACTCTTACTACAAATTGTCTTAGACATATATCCCTCTTAATTTGATTTCTCTATCTCATTGCGAGATCCATAGTGCCTAGTGGATTAGGGCAAGTAGGTGTAGTTGAGTGTGTTGGCAAGTGCTACATTAAGAGTGTAGTGGATGGCGAGCATCTAGAAGCAATTATCAACATTTGTTGGAACTCTTGATTTCGTCGAAGTGGGAGACGAGTATGCTTAAGTTGCAGGAATGTTAGGCTCCTTAATAAGCTATCTGTGATAGGTCAAGTTGAAACCCTCTTGAATAGATGTTTTTCGTTCATCACGGATGATGGCAAGTAGTGTTTGTGGCTAATTTTTACTAGAGAATGATTGACGAGTTGAGTAGTTTGCGAGAACCCTTTTAGTGTATTGTTGAGTTGAGTCTCAGGCGAACTCTCCTCTTGATCTTACTTCTTCCTTTGATGAATAAATTAAAAAAAAAAGAGGAAATTTTTACCTTACCAACATAGTCTATTTATTTAATGGATTACTTCATCTTAATTTTTATATAGTAACAAAAAATTTAGGAAACCAAAATAATAATAATAATAATAATAACTAGCACACAATATTGGATTAGTTTCGAATGGTTGCTTAAGAAGGGGCGCGCAATGAAATTTGAATGTTTCCAACTATTTAGGATGAGAAAATCAATTAATCAAATAGAGAAGTTTAGTGGATCTGATTTATTAAGTAAAATTAAATATTATTAGATCTGATTGCAGGTTTACAATAACGTAAATATTCGAGCAATCAGCACCGTCCGATCAGCAGAACAGGGATGAAGATCTTACGGCCACAATTTCTCAAAATCGACAGACTATTTCCCTCCTCTTTCGTTCTTTCTTTTTTTTTTTTCACGGACGGCTGTTGTTTAGGAAATCTCCAATCCCGTCAACTCTGCGAGAGAGAGAGAGGCTCTACTCTCAACAACTTCGAAGCAAATCTCTCCTTTCACATAGAATCCTTCAAATTTGGAAGAATCAACGCAGAACAGTGGCTGAGAAGAGCCTTCGAGGCCGTGAAGCTTCTCTAATCTTGACCTCGGTATCGTCTATACTATCTGCTTGCAGTTTCCCCCTTTTTGTTTATCTGGATTTTTTGCTCGACCTTTTCGTGGATTCTAGGAGAAGATAGGAATTTTGAATTGTTCGGAATGCAGGGGTTTCGGTCGAGGTAGTGTCAAGTTCCCTCCTTTGTTGATTCTTTGAGTGGATTTTACGGAAGATTGATTTTTTTTTTTTTTGGTGATGATTTTCGTTTTCCCGTCTTCCATTAAGCAAGTTAAGACCTGGGTCCTCTGAAATGCAACAAAAAAGCTCTTCATCCTCTTCCAATCCGAAGAGGAGCTCTTCGCCAAAAATAACAAGAGGTTCTTCTGCGTCATCCGGTTCCATTGATTCTAGGGTTTCCAGGGTCTCCGATCGTAAGCCCTCTCCTATGTCAAAATCTTTCCAAGAGGTACGATCAACAATCTCCTCCTACTAATTTGATTATCTGAAACGAATTTCTTCTACTCGTGTTTGTTGATGCGGCTTTAATTGTTATAGAAGCAAAGTCCCATGCGAGTTTCTGAGATGCAGCAGCAACTTGGCAAGGTCTTGGAGGATATGAAGAGGCTAAAGGAAGAGAGATCCCAAGCACTTGAAGAGCTTGCAGAACTGAAGAAAAGGAATGAAGGATTCACACAGAGCAATGAGAGGATCATGATGTTAGAAGAGGAAGTTGAGAAGGCCAGGGAATCAGAAACGAAATTGCTGGAATCATTGATTTCTCAGACCAAGCAACTCGAGGAAACAAAGATTTTACTCGAAGAGGCCAAACTAGAGATCAGGAACCTCAGGGAGAGCCCAGCAGCTTCAGAGAAGAAAGGATTATTAGCATCTGTTCAGACTATTCAGGCCCAAGAGGAGATCAGAAAGCTTAGAAATGAGCTTAGGCTAGCAGTGCAGGCAGAAGAGAAGAGCAAGAAAGCAATGGATGATTTTGCAATTGCACTCAAGGAAGTGACTACTGAGGCTACTCATATGAAAGAAGAACATGAAGTGATAAATTCCGAATTGGAAATGGTAAGGGCGGATGCAGAAAATGCCAAGTATTTGTTGCAAAACGCCGAGCAGAAGCTACAAGTGGCTTTGGAGGGATATGCTAAGCTTAAGCAAGAATTTGAAGAATCTACTAATGCATGGAAAGTAAAAGAGGATAGCTTTATAAACTGTGTCAAGATTTCTGAAGATGATATGAACAAGAAGGATGAAGAGAATAGTAGGTTGGTTGATTCCCATAAGGTGGCCAAGGAAGAAAATTCTAAACTGCGGGATATCATTAAACAAGCAGTGAATGAAGCTATGGTAGTAAAGGAATCTCTGGCAATTGCACGGAATGAAAACAATGAGCTTAAAGAACAACTCTATGAGAAAGAAAGTGCCTTACAGAAACTCAGGCAAGAATTTGAAAACCTCAAAGTCAGTGAAACTGCTGCTCTTGATAGCGTGAGGGAGATGAAGAGCTTGCTTGCCTCTTCTTCTGGTACAGATTTAAATAAGCCCTCAGATTTGTTAGAAATCGAACCGTTAGGACAGTCAAAAGCAACAAGTGATGATAGAAAGATAAGCAAGAATATGATGAAATTCTCATCTGATCGATGGGATAACCCTCGGATGCAGAATGGCCACAGGCATTCTGTTGGAGAGTCAGATATTTCAAAAGACTTGGCTTTCAATAAGAGAGCAGCATTTGAAAACCATGAAAAGCGATTAAGCTCTGATGCTTTTAATCATTTAGATGGGATATTATTGCATGGATTGGATAATGATAAGCAGAAGAAAAAGAAGACAGTCTTTGGAAGATTTGGAGATGCATTGAGGAGAAGGAGCTTTCGCAAAACTTAGTCTTGAATGTTAGGTGCATAAAAATTTTATTGTGATTGTTATTTAGCTTACTATAAAATTGCAGACCTTTTGTTTACTTTTTATTTTTAAAGTTGATAAAGATATAACTTGTAATTTAGCTTGATAATTCAATAACAAATATGATTTAAAGCAAGATGAACTCTTTTTTGCAGCCTTATTTGACTTTGGCCAACCTTTCATATAATGCTACTGACCTTGTCCACCATGAATATGATGACTTGAATTCCTTAGATAAATTTTAAATTAGGAGTTAGATTTCCTATTGGTAAGCGACTCTTCATACTCTTGTAAGATCTCAAGATCGAGTCTTCTAGTCATCACTATTTTTACTTCAACTTAGATTTTACTATAATTTTTTTCAACCTTGCTAGCCAACCTCATGAGTGGGATAAAGGCTTGATGTTGTTGTTGGTGGTGTTTTCAACCCTGTTCAAACCAAGCCGATTTCAATTTCAAGTTAACTTGGCTTGAAAGATATTGATTGCAAGTGAAGTTAGAGAGCAGCTCAACGCAATGATTTTGGACTAATTATTCTATGCGGACACCGGACGAAGAGAATCGTCCAGATTTGCTGCGCTTTTACTGTCCTTTAGCTGCTGCATTAAAAGAGCATCAAATATTTAATATTTATTAATTAATTTAATATTTGTTGCGCTTTTATAAAAAGCAGCAAAAGTACAGTAAAAACGCATTCATAATTAAATATTTGTTATCATTTTACTATCATTTTGCAAAAGTACAGCAGAAGCACAACAAATCTGGACAATTCTCTCCTTCCACGCACAGAATAATTTCTCATGGTTTTGAGTTTGACTTACCAAAGCTAGTTGTAGTTGTGACGGGGAACAACAGGATGAAGCAACGATATCAAGGGCTTCTTCGTGCTCTATAAAGGTGAAGTTTCACCATCTTAGTTTCTTGATAGCTGCTTCAGTTGATAGAAATTAAACTAAATTTGCAGGTTAATTTTAAAAAGTAAGAACAAAGAATGAAAGAGGAAATTGGTGTTCTTTGGCATGATGAAGCAGCTCCACAGACAAATTTACCAAATAAGAAATATATCATTTGGTTTCTTACGTCTGCATTAAAAGTGCAACAAAGCAGCTTCAATTATTATACTCACAACAGCTTTTTGTATGTGCTTTTCTACAGGAGCTTCTCAATAAGCTGTACTGATGGCAACAAATACAATCGAATCAGATGAGTCTCTTCTCTTTAATTGGACAAACAAGTTTTAGATACATGAAAAAAGTCTATTTTTTAGTATAATATTACTCTTAAAAGACTTAATGCATAATTTGGGCTTAACAGGCATGTGTTAGCTCTTTTCCATAGTATAATATACTTGTATTAAATTTTGTGGAGCTTTTTAGTACAAAATTATTATTATTATTATTAAAAATCTGCTTTAAGAAGCAATAAGAAAGCCGTCCCAAATAAAATCTTACCGTTTTTCAATAAAACATGTATGAAAAAGCTTTTTGTGGCCAAAATTAATAATTGATGTTCTCGCGGTTTTTTTTTTTCAATTAAAAATTTAATTTTATCATTTATAGTTTAAACAAAGACAATAAAAAATTCAATTGTCAGCTTTTATTTGGGTTAAAAGTTCCACAAAATAAATTATTTTATTCACAATAGACACCCATGATCCATTTTAACCCATGCGACAAACCAATCATACTCATTAACCGGGTTTAAGTCAGTTCACTTCATTAACAATTACCACATATACAAGTTGAAATTTGAAAGAATATGTGTGCTTGATAGTTAAAAAGGAAGTTGCCCAAAGAAACTTGCCCTTAAAAGAGGCCCACACGAGGAACTTTCTTAAAGCTCGCAGGAGAATTTGTCCGAAATGACCAACATACATCACTCGTCTATGCTTTCTAAGGAGCTCGCCTTGCACAGGGCCGATTAAGGATTTCTCTTAGAGTTAGTAGCTATGTACTCACCATGTGCCTCGACTACATCTTAGTTACTTACTCTCTCACCTAGGCTGATCATCCTCACCAAACTCAACTATATGAAGGCACCTACTCATGGGATCCTCAGTTCAACTAGTTGCAAACATTCGAGTTGGAGCTCTCCCTTTGCACAATAATATCTCACTCGCCCCTCTACTAGGCAATCCCAGAGCATCCATATAGGAGTTCATCCATGTCAACCACTGATCCCCCTCCTATCAATGCTCATATGCAAGCAAGCTTATCCTCATCAATTCAACATCATTGAGCTTGCTCAGAGGCAACACGCAAAAGCTTCCAACCCCACACTCTTTCTGTCCATCAGAAGGTGACTTGTCTAGAATAATGTGTATCATTATATGAGTACTCTATGTAGTGTTTACTTTTTACTTTTTTTTTTTATTATAGTCTTTCATGTAACCCTTTGAATCCTATAATAAGTAGTGAGGATGAACAATTTGAATTCTTATGTTGGACTTTTTATTGATATGGTGTATACTCTATCGATTTTGAGATTCTTAGGTTTCGTTTGGAACATCTTTTTTATTGTTTCTTAAAGCAATTTTCTAGTACAAAAATTTTAACTTTTGTACTAAAAACCTGTTTTAAGAAGCAGGAAGAAAGCCGTCCCAAACGAAGTCTTTGGGATGGCTTTTTTATTGCTTTCTAAAACGGAGTTTTAGTACAAAATTAAAAAAATCTGTACTAAAACTCCGTTTTAGAAAGCAATAAAAAAGCCGTCCCAAACGAAGCCTTAATCTCTTGAGTATTCTAATGATTTTCTCTCTCAATCTCCATTTTCTCTCACATGTTATCTAGTCACCCCACTACTCTTAGTTTCAACTAGCTAGAAGGCATATGCAATTACAAATTTGAATCCAACAAAAGTCATTTCTTAAATATCACTAATTCAAATCACATAAAATAGCTGATAATTTAAAACAATTGAAATACAAAATAATAATATTTCTTTTCTTTCTATTTCTTTCCATTGTTTCTCTCTCTCTCTCTAAGAAAATAAACTTATCTAAACTCTTATATAGCTTTGAGCACTGCATACCTTTTTCATCCTACCACCCTTCCATTTGAAATATTTTGCGCACACTTTACTTCCAATCAAATAATCCCTAAATTATACATAAAATTCAATAAAAAAATAGGAAGTTCTGACATTTTATTGCTGTTAGAAAAAAGAAAAAAAAAAGAAAAAAAGAAAAAACTCTGCAATGCCAATTGGAAATGAAGCAATTGCCCGCCCAAACTGTCAATTATATAACACGCTTTACTGGCTGTACAGGAACTAATGGTAATGCCAAATGACTCAAATTCTATAATTATAACTGTATTAGCAAGATAATGTAAAAATATTGTGAAATTTTGAACTGCTTAGGCTTCTATCTTAACTAGAAAAGACTTTTATGTGGAAGAATTTGTTAGGAACGAATATGATGAATGCACAAAACAAAAATAAAGAGATTGAGGTTTAGATTGGGATGACTTTTTTATTGCTTTATAATTTTTTTTTTTTTTCGTACAAAAATGTCTTAAGCTAAAAAATTTTATACAAAAAAACTATTTCAGAAAGCAGTAAGAAAGTCATCCCAAACGAAGCTTGCGTATAACAAAAAGAAACTAAGATTTATATGATTTAAGTAAAAATAAAAACTTATGATCATGAGAGTAGTGAGTATATTCAATTCAATAGAGAAAAATTATGTGTATAAAATAAAAGATCATAAAAAAATATTTTTCTAAATTCACATATAATCAATCTCATCATAAAAAGAGAAATCCCAAATCTTTAAAGTCAAATAATAATACGAAAGATGTAATAAACAAAAAAATATTTAATTATATTTGTTGCATCCTGCAATATTCACGGCGGTAGAGAGATATAAAGTTTAACGTCTTAACTTTGTACGAAAATCCGGCATGCAAACAGATGAAAGAGATTGTGGGACATTCACAAGAGACACCAAGATTTTTACGTTGAAAACCCCTGAAAAGGGAAAAACATCGAGGTCTAGCTCAGTTTGAATGAATCCACTAGTATTGCAGCTGATTACAAATGAGGCTCTTCCTTGGGGGAAGGCCTTAGCTTGATGTACATCTTATAGAGTACATTACATGATGTGAATACAAAGAGTCAATGTTAATGGGTTCGTCGGGTCGGAAGGACCGTAGTCGGTGGGCGATGGAGGTTGGAAGGACCGTAGTCGGCTAGCGACGGAGGTCAGAAAGACCGTTGGCTGACTACGGAGGTCAGAAGGACCGTTGGCTGATGACGGAGATCAAAAGAACTGTAGTCGATGCGCGACGTAAGTTAGAAGGACCGTAGTCGGCGGGCGACATAAGTCAGAATTAAGGACTGTAGTTGGCGGGCGACGGAGATCGGAAGGACTGTAGTCGGTGGGCGACGTAAGTCAGAAGGACCGTAGTCGGTGGGCGACGTAAGTCGAAAGGGACCGTAGTCAGCGGGCGATGGAGGTTGGTATGATCGTAGTTGGTGGGCGACGTAAGTCGGCAGGACCGTAGTCGGCGGGAGACGGAGGTCATAAAGACCATTGTCTGGCGACAGTAGTCGGAAGGACTCTATTAGGTAGAAGTTCAGCAATGGACATAAATCCAATATCAGATAGATGTCCGGCGAAAGTCTGACAACAGTCAGAAGTCCGGTGCCAGGTAAAAACTTGGCGACGAGCGGAGGTCCAAGGTCGGGTAGAAGTCCAACGTCAGTTGGCGGCCGAGAAGAACATCGTCTTTAGATGATATTCGGGTAGAACTCCGGCGTCACTAGGAGTTCTGGTTAAACTCCGGCATCACTTGGAGGTTGGGAGGAATCCTGACGTCACTTAGAGGTCGGGCGGAATTCCGACATCACTTGGAGTTCGAGTGAAACTCCAGCGTCACTTGAAGATCGGACATAATTCCGGCGTCACTTGGAGGTCGGGCGGAATTCTGGCGGTAGTCGAGGATGAGTTTCTTCCCTCCTATTCTTCTTCTCTCTGCTTGGGCCTTGGGTCCCCCCTCAAGAGAAATGAGGAGTCTATTTATAATTTTTTGAGAGAGGCATGATTTGTAAATAAGAGGAGGGTCAAGGGCAAAGGTGGAGTGGAATGGATGGATGGCCGATATTGAATCCCTTGATCATAGAGAGTTCGTTAGACATTTAGAGGTCTTAATGATATCGAAATTCAGCGATCTTAGGCTCGTTGGATTCATCTCGTCGAGCTGCTCGATTCGACTATAAGCATGTCATATTTAGAAAATGTTTGATTATCCAAATTATGGATTGAACCTTCCGAATGTGCTTCGGGTCTTTGATTTGGACCCATTTGGGCTCGAATCTAGTTGAATTTGGTGTCGTTGGGTTCGTATTTCCGAGACGCTATATTTGACTGTAAGTTTGCTGAAATCAAAGTTTAGATGATCCATATTTAATTTTTGAAGTTTCCAACTTAATTTTTGCCTCGAGATTCATGTCCGATCAATATAATTTTTTTGATGATATATCAATATTATAAAGTAATTTATGAAATCTTCACAAAGTTTTTAGCACAATCATAGTTTTTGGGAGATTAAGGCTTTATTTAGGACATTTTTTTATATTATTTTTTTCACTTTTTTAATAAATTTTTGTATTGAAAAATTGATTTAGAAATATATAAGAAAACCATCCCAGAGAAAATATAAGTGAATTTGTATATAATTGTTGCATTCTAGTATATTCTCAACGGTAAAGAGGCGTAGAGTTTAGCGTCCTATCATTTTACGAAGATCCAACACACAAACAAATTAGAGATATATGTGCAACATTCATAAGAGACATCAAAATTTTTGCATGAAAAACTCTAAAAAGGGGGAAAATCATGGGGCTTAGCTTAATTTGAATGAACCCACTAGTATTGGTGGTTGATTATGAATAATACCCTTCATATGTGGAGAGTGCTAGCTCAATGTAACAAATATACATTGTATATAGCATATTTCAATAGTTTTTTTTCTTAAGAGAGTTAGTATTTTTATTTGTCTAGTCACTAGGGTTGTAGTTGGTGGGCTACGGAGGTCGGAAGGATCGTAGTCGGCAGGCAATAGTGGTAAGAAAGATCGTAGTTGGAAGGCGAATGTCGTCATGGTGGTCGTAGTTAGGGGGGTGTTAAAATAAGTCAACGGGTTGGGTTTGGGTCCAACCCGAATTTACTCGTATCCAAATAGGTTGACCCTAACCCGACCCGATTTTACAAATGGGTCTGGAATTTCAACCCGGACCATACGCCGAGTTACTGGATTGACCCGGCTTGACCTGCCAACCCAGATTCTAGCAACCACATCTGTTGATCTGTGCTTAGGGGTTGTTTGAGGCTATAGGAACAACATTGGAGGAAGAGGAGGCAAATAAGCTTAGACCCATTCAGAAGTCCAATTTGATAGGAGCAACATCTTAGGAGGCAAAGAAGCTTGGACTCAATTAGAACTTCGATCCGACAAAAACAATGTCGGAGGAGGAGGCGTAGAAGCTTAGACCAGTTCAGAACTCTATTTCATGAGAAGCTAAACAATAGTGAATAAATGCATAAGAGGAAAAACAAACCTTAGGGAATGAAGTTTGGATCCATTCATTGCCCATGGATTGATTTTAGGCCAACTAGGTTGATTTCGAGTTTCCAGGTCAGCTTGAATCTAACTCGTCAAGCAAACGAGTTGAGCTGAAATCGGAATTTTTCGGGTCCGATTTTGGGTCGAGTCAAATATTGGCACCCCTAGTTGTAGTCGGCGGGTGATGGTGGTCAAAGGGGTTGTACTCGGCGGACGTTGGTGGTCGAAGGGACCGCAGTTGGCGGGCGACGGTGGTCGAATGAACTATAATCGACTGGCGATGAAGGTAGGAGGGACCGTAGTCAGCTGGCGACGGAGCTCAACAAGAACTCTGGTGATGCTAGCACTAGATGGAGTGAGCAAGTGAGCTATTAGAATTTCTCATTTTCTAATCCCCCTATTATGTGAAGAATGATGGGCTATTTATAATTTTTTGGGAGTGCCATGGCTAGTACATATGGAGAAGAACACTACTATGTTAGGAGTATTCCATGAGAGAGCTGGTATTAATTCCCTTAATGATGTTAGAGCTCTTATCAAGCATTTAGTTGTTTTAATGATGTCAGAATTGAGTGATCTTGGACTCGTTGGAATCATCTCGTGGAGCCATTCTATTTGTCTAAAGCATATCATATTTGGATTTCATTTGATCGTCCAATTGATGCTCTGAAGCTTTCAAATATGTTTTAATCATTTAATTTGAACTCATTTGGGCTCGTATCGGAATGAATTCAGTATCTTTGGGTTCGTCTCCTTGAAATGTTTAATTTGACTATAAGTTTGTTGAAATCAGAATTTGAATGATCCCGAATTTTGACCCGCTATCCTTTCACAGTTTCACCACATAAATGCTTTCATCATGTCAAACTTATAGAACTCTTTTTTTTTTTTCTATTATATTCATAGGAGTTTAAAACTATTTATTTCAAATTGAAGCAAATTAATTTTTGTCTTAAAATCACCCAAAATAAGAAATTATCTGATACATTTTAAAATCAGGTTATTAAAAAGAGATAATTTGTTTTATCTTTAAAATAACTTATTTTCACACATGGAATAATTTGTTCTTGCATGCAAATGCTCATGAGATTATACTCGCAATGCTTTCATGTGAGGATAATTAAATCGTTATACACTTTCAAGAATTCAACTATTTTTTATTTACAGCCTATTTGGGATAGTATAAAAGTGCTTATAAAATTATTGTAGAAAAGTAATTATTTATCAAAGTTGTTCTAAAAATGTAATTTCTAGCCAAATTTTTTTTTTTTTAAAGTAACAAAAAATTACTAGCCAAATAGAATTATAATTATAATCCGAATAATAAAATAATAATCTCAACCTAATATTTGAATTATCTTTTTTTTAAAGTACTACTATTATCACCAGAAAATGCATATGATCAATATACAAATCTCAACAGAAAATTTGAATTATTTTTTTAAAATTAAATTGAAGATCATATGATTTCCAATTTCAATAATTTTATTATTAAATTGAATTTCTCAATAAAGTAAGTACAACAATACCAAAAGTAATTACATTCTAATCTAAATAAAATCAAATCAAGCACTATAGTCAAATTCACTAAATCATGTATGTTTATAATCAAATCTAGCGTAATGCAAGATAAATCCAAAAATTCAAGATCATTCAATTATGAGATCATTAAGACACTATAATGCTAAATAAACAATCCATATTAAAGGATTTAATATGCGATGTTATATCGAGAGCTATAAAATTTTGATCAAATCTATAAAAATATTAGTCTCAAAATATTATAAATAAATCACATCTCCACACGAAAGAAACTTAGACTTAAGGCTAGAGAAAGCTTATAGAAACCATGGAACTATAAAACCCTACTTGATAGGCAATGTTGCAATCAATGAAAGGCCCCCACATTGTCCTACCGTTGTTGTATGATTGTCCTCTTTATGACCGTCCTTGCTCGAGTTTTGTGACTTTACCATCAATCAGGGGTGGAACCGGCCTTGATTCTTAGGGGAGGGGAGGAAATTTATAAACAATACCTCTAAACAAATATGTTTAATTCTGCTAGGGGGCAACCACCTAAAGATAATAGTATTTTAATTTTTTTAGGGGGGGCGGGGCAATTGCCTAAAAACTCTTATAATAAAGAGTAAAAAAAAAAGATGGAGGGGAAAATTACCTAAAAATCCATAGAATAAACAATTTTTTTAATTTTTTTAGGGGGGGCAATTGCCCCCCTTGGGGCTAACGTGCTTCCGCCCATGACCATCATTATAAAACCGTTATTATCCAATCGTTATTGCCCAACTGATATGGTTGAACTCATATTCCCTCAACTACTTCTCATATAATCCCTACTACAATTACATGAGATTAAATAAGTACTTCAAGTTTCTTAATCCCACATCTCTAGTTGTGGACAATTCACGTAAATAGATAATTTAACAGAGCCAAATAACTTGATTTTTTTTTTACGTAAACACTTTTGTGTCTCATACATTTTTCTCTTTCACCAATGTGTGAGCGCTCAATCTTTATGCAAAGTTAAGAATCAAAAGTCTTTCTTTATCATCTTAAACTTTCTAGCACACCACAAAAATAACTATGAAAATATAATAAATAAAATTCATATTAAAATAATAAAGGATAACTAATTTAGGCAGATTTAATTTAAATAAAGTATTAATTTTAATATGGTATTCAGTAATAGAACAATATTTTTTCGAGCTGCCCCCATTGGCTTGCTCCTCATTAAAAAAAATAAATCAAAAATATCAATCTTCTCCTGAAAATTTGCTAAAAATACCTAATGAAATTCGATAATTGTTTCTACTCGAGAAATTTTGCTGCACTATAAATAGGCGCATTCATCGGGTCTGGTCTTTTCTGGACCGCCGTCTACGAGCTGTAGTCCGTGAGGCGAGAGCAGCTGCCTGCGATGGCAGAAACGGAGCAGAAGAAGAAGATCACTGGCCTATCCGAGGTAAAGCTCTCTACCTTCTCTTTGCTTGCCTCTTAACTGAATTAACTATAATTTTTTTGTTCGGATTGAATGTTTTGTTTTTCTTCTGGCATTCGTCGTCGTTGCATCTTATTGGTTATCGATCGTTTTTAGATCTGCTTTATTTTTGAGAGGTTTAACGAATGATCTCAATTTAAAGAGAGAAAAGTGCGCTCGAGCGCGAATCCTGTGGTGGGGACTATTTCACGGCCTCCATCCGCCGTTTTCAGATCGGTTGATTGAGCCTTTTTATTTTTTCACCGTTTTCCCTTTTCCGGGTTAGATCTCATTGGAACATTATTTTATGGATATTCTGTTACTGAATTGTTGCATTTGGTTTACTTTTATGTGTTTTTTGCTAGAGAATTTGAAGGAGGATTTATTGGATTACCATGTCTAATTGGGAAAGGATGTTAGGGTTTGTGGTCTTTTGTGGAATGTGGGGGAGGGATGATGTTTTGGAGTTCTTGAAGAAAAGAGGAGTAAAAAGTTAATATATACCTTGAATTGGAAGAACGGGAGGGGAATAAGAAGTCTTCGTAAGCAACTTTTAGGGGCTGTTTGGCAACAAGTAGGATTTAACTTTAGTGGGATTTAGTAAATCCTGTAAATCCTAAGGGTGTTAAGTCCTGAAAACTATTTGGTATGACAAATGTTATATATTATTAAATCCAGAGAAACTGTTTGGTAACATATTTCAGGATATATGGAAGTTAGGGATTTAAATGTGAAGAAACAGTGTTGAATTACATCAATAAGATAATTATAAATTCAAGATAAGTGCAGTGTCTGATCTGCGCTTTGTCATCTGTGGATGCAGTCGCTTGCAGAATAGAATGGGTAATTGCCGCAATGGCCTCACTAACTTGTAGATGTAGATCAACCATCTCACATAAGCAATTAGGAAGTACATTATGCAAGTAGTTCAACATCATTGAAATTAAATATACAAATTCGAAGGTAACTAAAATTTGTACTATTACTTTACAAATAAAACTTGCACATACAAAGATGAATTTAGACTAAGACAAAAATTTTTGAAATTGTACTTCTTTCTCCCTGCTTTAAATTGAAATTGAACCTACAAACTGTGTAGAAGCACATATTTCAAGCAACAACATTCTTTAAAGTGATATATAACATACTATGGGTACAATTGACCTTCTATGTGAATTGTAACCTAATATTTGAACATCTCTATAATGTAATATTTGAACATCATACAAACACAACGGCAACCACAAGCATTGCGGAAAGGACTAACCTGTGCGATGAAAAAACCCTACTTGTAGTGACTGCAGTCTGCAGATGAAGATGACTTGCAGAGGAAGGTGAATTGCATAGTAAAATGCCTTATGGAGAAACAAGCCCAGCGATCGCATGAGGAAGAAGAATTGGAGAGGCTGTGACAGATTTGTGAGATGTTATTTTCCTTATGCTGTGATCATGGTCTTTCCAAATTTATATAAATTCTCATCTATATATGCCCCTTTGGATGCCTCTATATAAATTATCTTCTTTATTTATCTTCATTTGCTTGCCTTTATTATACCACACCATCTCAACCATCCATCAAAGAGGGAAAGAAATAGAGGTAGAGTTCAAACACTAGCATACGGGGGCAATCTGGTAATTGAGGTGTTGTTGCAAATGAGGTATCATAGCAACTGAGAAAGATGACAAAGTTTTTTTCATTATTACAAGGAGTCTTTGATGCAAGCTCAGAAAGTGTTTCTTATTTTAGTAGGGCGAAGTTTTAATGGAACAAGTCACTTCAAAGAAGAACATCTGTGGGTGCCACAATAGTTGTTTTTCTTTTGTGAAGGAATAGAACGGACAATAGGTGGTTCTTTTACCCTTATCTTCTAAATTTGAATGAAGTATAATCTCCCCAACATACATATTCTAATGCTTACTGGAATATATTGATTTTTCTGCATACCATGTAAATCTTGGTATTTTTTCTACTTGCTTGAATTTTTTTGTGAATTCTTTGTGGTCACTCATATTTACCCATAAGGTTGATGCTTCTACTATTAAGTTACACGCTCTTTCTTTTCATAATAACTTGGGGTGATTCATAATATAAAAGTTAAATTTACGATAGACTTTTGGCACATTTTCGCTCATACTAGATGTCAACAAAATACCATATCATGTCGGATAAATTTACACTTCCAATCCTAATAAAAATAACAATGCTCATATATAAAGAATGACCATATCAAGAATAAGTGCAAAACATCACGTAAAAATCTATAAGAATGAGCACAAATTTATTTTTAGGGAAATTTACATACATACCACTTTATACCATCCTATTTACATATTTAACACCCAAAACTTTAATATTACATACATACCACCATATATTATTTTAATATCAAATATATCAATGTTTTAAAAGGAGAAATTGGGAATCGAGACATTTTTTCTAAGCGAGGCGAGGCGTAAGCCTCAAAACGATTAAAATAAATTAATTTAAAATAATAAATAATGACAAAAAATAACAAAATATTATGTCAACTATGAATTTGAAGATTTGTTTCAAGATAATACCGGTCTGCCAGGGGTCCAAGGGGGCGCTGCCCCCTGGCGGGGTTCGACCTAGCATGTACCGCTCGGTACCGAGCGGTACTGGCTCCGTACCGAGCATGTACCTAGTGGTACCGAGCATGTACCACTCGGTACCGAGCATGTACCTAGTGGTGAGTCATGCAATGATTTTATGACGCTGAATTTTAGCCATTAAAAGAGAAGCATAAAAATAATTCTTGTTGTTTTAACTCCATGAGCAAAGGAAGAAAGCTCATTACCCGTAATTGTCGAAGCCAAAGTATACGAAAGAGGAAGCAGGTAAAGTTTAAACAGTGGTCGAACAGGTAGTGTTACCTTCGGTTCGAGTTCCGACTTCACACGAAGCGTGACGAACTCAAACCAGCGGTCGAACAGGAAGAAAGGTCGTTCCCGAGCACTCCTGTCGGATCGAAAAAGTCACTTGTGGTCGAACACGAAGCAGCTCTCAAAAGGGATGAAGCGGAAGCAGCACGCTCGAAAGATAAGGAATTTGTTCTTCGCTATGAGCTCTGTCGAATCCTAATGAGGCATCGCCTCACGCTACCTCGAGGCGTTACGCCTCGACGCGTACACCTCGTTGAAAAAAATCGCACGCCTCGTCAAATACATTGAGGCTTAAGCCTCAAGGCGCCAGGTTAGCACCTCGAACTGAGTCGCGCTTCTGTTCGGACGCCTCGACCCTTTTTTAATCCGTGAAATATACCACTCATATTTCTTTCCTACCATTCATATATTTCATTTCTACCACTCATATTTGATATGAAAATGAACTATGGGGTGTATATATGTAATATTAAAGTTTTAGGTGTTAAATATGTAAATAGAATATGATAGGGTAGTATGTATGTAAATCTCCCTTATTTTTATTAGGATAATTTACACTTCTGACCCTATCAAGAATGAGCACAAAGAAATTAGGATTTGATTTTTATGCTAGAGGTCCTAATACTGCTCATAATCATGTTGGATAAATTTGTGATAACTTAATGAAATAGAGTCAACATATTTGAGAAGTTTTTTATTAATAGCCTGATTGTAATAAAATTAAGTATTATGCTCATTTAAATGCATTCATTTTGTTAGTTTCTTTATGAATAATGATTGGTTTTTCAAATGCATTATAAATATGGAAAAAACTTGAAATTAAGAGATTTTTATGTAGCTTTTATGTTTATTCGCTGATTTTAATGAAGATATGAGCATTGAAGAATGCTCCTAAATGTTTAAAATTGATAACATCAGGTATTCAAAAAGATATTGCTAGAGCTGCATACATTGAAGCAATATATTTGTATACTTATGGACCTTGGAGATGATTTTAGAGGGAGGAATTTAATAATTTGTTAGCACTTTTCATGGATTATGTTTTTTGTTTTGCATAAGAACTTCAATTAGGCTTTATATTTGTTATGCAAAGTTGCTCATAGAAATTGCCTTACTTTTTATAGATGTTGCGATCAATTTCAAGAAAGCAACAAGAGAAGACTTTACGTCCAATTGAGAGCTTAATATAGGGAAAGGTTTAAATTAGAAATAAATCTTAAACTTACTAGTGATGCACAATGGTGTTCATATTATATGAGTTTGTGTTAGATCGGTCCTTGGATCGGCTCTGCTTCTATCAGGGGCGGACCGCTTGTTTCGCTCCAATAGATGTCGCCTCTCTACTTGGGGTCCAACAAGCGTCAATTAGGAAGGGTTTTAGGTAGTTTATGAGGGATAGTTCAAAGGAGGGACTATTTAGAGAATTCCTTTATGATTGTATGCTTTAAGTAGGATGTTTTCCTAGGGTAAGGTTATCTGGTGTTCCTGAAATTTGGAGAGTTCTTAGGTTTTAATTAGGTTCTAGCAGCGTATAGATAATTGGGAGAGTTAGATCCTCCTCTTCAAGTGAGGATCAATTGTATCTTGTTGTTTTCTTCCACTATTATCAATTAAAATAGTCTCTATTTTGTTATTCCATTATCTACTCTTAATTTATGCTTTTGTAAATGGCTGAATTTCAAATTTAGCCAAAGTTCTTTCATTTTTCTACAAGCGTTTCCTATCAAATTGTTATCAGAGTTGTTCGATCCAGGTACCGATGGCTAGAAGAAAGGTCGAAGTTTTGGAAAGGGGGATCAGACAAATGAAATCAGAAATTTTGGATCTCAAGTTTCATATTTAAAAAGTGAAATTTCAATTGTCCAAGAGAAGATTGATTTGAAAATTTTCATCCTGGAGGAGATGTTGAAGAAGTTGCTCTATGGCCAACCCAAAACAACATCGTTGGATATGAGGGAAGCCTTCGACAACCAAGGGAGTGAGAGAAACCCTAATCCAATAAGGCAAAGGGAAGATCAGGAGGGGTAGATTCTAGAGGGAGAGGAGAGAATGCCTCATCTAGAGCCTATTCCTAGAGAGGA